CCCTGCCAGCTGCGCACACCCACCCACGCCGGCAGCGAGGCTCAGACCTTTTTCCTCCTCTCGAGTTGTTGCTTTTATCTCGCTCCTCCCTATTTTAGGTTTGTTTGGGGGGGTTTTTATTATCTTTTTTTTTTTTTTTCCCCAGCTGTGGCTCCCCCCCCCCCCCCCCCTGCCACGGGGCAGAGATGGAGCACGTGACGCCTCTTTTTGGGGTGGAAAGGCCCAAAAGCACAGATGGAGCGTTGTATCGATGCCCAGGCTTGGTGCTGCTCCTGCACGGAGCCATCTTCCACCCCACTTGCTGCCAACTGCCCTTGCTGGGGCAATTGTGGGGCCTTCACAAGGGGCTGTGTGGTGGCCCCGGTCGAAAATATTCCTACAGAGGTAGAAAAAAAAAGAAGGGTGGGGAAAGGCAAGCCGGGAAGGCTGCTAAAGCCTGTGGTTGTAATTAAACGACAGCAGAATTTAACGAGCTCCAAGGCCTGATGGTAGAGTTTTGCCAGGAGATAAGACGTGCTTGGAGGACTCTACCCTGAGCCGAAGCCAAAGGTCCCATTGTTGCGGCGAAGATTTATCTGCCCAGAACAGACCTTAAATCCAAGCAGCGCTGCGGTCGTTTCCTTTTTTCACCAGGGCGCCTGTAACACGCGGAGTTTCTGCGGCCGGAGGGACTCGAAAGGGAGGGAGCAGGTTGGGAAAGGAAAGTCTGACACGGGGCTCAGCTTGGGCTTTGTTAAAATGCCACACGGGCGTTTACGAGCGAGTTTCCAGGAGGGAGGATACGCGTGCCCCGTTCCCAGCACCAGGGATCGGCTCCTTGGCTGTTAGAAACCAAAGGTTTTGCTCGTTTGCCTGGGGATTTTATTCCTGAGAACCGGGGCTCGAGCGAGGGTTTTGGGGAGGCACCGGGGTCAGGCAGGGCTCAGCGCCGTCGCGGACAGAGAGAGGGAGTCGTTTTTGTAGAGGTCGGCGGTTTATTCCTACTCACCACTGCGCGCAAGTTCTAGAAACGTTAAAAAAATAAGTATATATAAAAGCATGTTCTTCATTCGTTTTCGATACGGTGGCGATGGCAGAGAGTAGGCTTCAGTGGGGGAATCGGTTGTACAAAAACAAAACAAACCAAAACACCTGTTCGGAACAAGTCAATAATAGCTTAATTTTAGGGGAAAAACTGATATTTCACCCCTTTAGGGGGTTGAGGCGTGGCCAGAGCCTCTTTCTTCCCCCCCAAGCATTCAGTTCAGATCTGCTGGGATATTTTGCGGGTGCATTTCGGTTGTGGGACCCTGGGGCTGAAGACTGGACCTGGGAATTCACAGGAGCTTTCTTAACCTGCAGGGACACGCTCACGTGCTGGTCCGTGTCCCCGAGGAAAGACAATCAGTGACTAGAAAAGGGAACGACAAGTATAGATCGTGAATTCAATCCCCAGGTACCAGAAGAAATGAGCTCGAGATTTCAAGACTTTGCATCGCAGAGACGAGGGAGAGAGTTTTCAAAATGTGGGGGGGGAAATATAAATCAACAGCTCGGTTGGTTTATAGAAAAAAATAAACCCCATGAAGAGTAAAGGGCACACCAGCCTTCAGCAAGAAAACACAGAAACCCCTTTCCTTTAAAGGAAACTCCTAATCTGAAGTCAAATTAGTAATATGCTAATTGGGGAAGCCTCATTTATCACGAAGCTCTCTTGGAAACCCTCGGAGGCCAGTGCGATGTTCGTCCCCGGTTCTCCTTTAAGCCGAAGGAGAGAGACAGAACTGACTGGCCAGAAAGAGAAGTAATAGCTTAAAAGTTTGTTGGTTTTTTTTAAACAAACAAACAAACCCTTAAGACTACTCATGTAAAGACACAATATCCTCAAGTTCAGTGTTTTTAAACCAAAACCACTTGCTTCTGTTACAAATGCAACAAGTTTCAAGTATTAAAAAAAAAAAAATCCAAACAATCCAGAAAGTATTTGCCTTCGTTCTTAGACCTCTGTACAGATTAATCTTTTAAATTAAACCTGATGAGCCTGAAAAATTAAATAGTGCTTCCACTCTCAGGAGAAGGCAGAACTTAGGTCCTTGACCACGAATGATTAATTTTTTCTTTTCTTTTTTAAATCTTTCCCAAGACTTGCTGACTGCAAGGAGCGAATCGCTCCACTTTACCAGATTACACGGCGAGGGGCTTCCAAACGACACGATTCGGGCACTGATGAACTGACAGAAGAGGAGAAAGGGAACTGCTTTTGAACACGTCGGCAATCCTGAGGTGATAAAAAACCAACGCCATCGCGGCGCTGTCCTCGGCCAGGGCGCAGGCGGCCTCTCACTGCTTCGCCGATTGTCTGCCCGGCTTTTTTTCCTGCTGGCCTCTTCCGCTGCCTGGTATACCTCGGCCACGGCCGCCAAACACACCTATGGGGCAGAAAGAAAAAGCACGGCGTGTCATGGCATCGCTGTCGTCCAGTGGCTCCACGGTTATTTACGTTTTTACCCAAACACAGGCCCGTTTTCTAGTCTTGGGAGCAGAAACGGACTTTTCCATTTCTCCCTCGTCAGATCCAGGCCCCTTTGCCAGCAAGTTCGGCGACACGTCCCCTGTGTGCCAACCCCTCGTGAGCTGCATCGGCCTAAACTGAAGTTAACTTCTGAAAAGATGGAACCAAGGAAGTGATACCAGGTTTTAAATTCGGCTCAGATTCACCCCCCAAACAGAAAGCAATTCTAGGCAGTAATTTTTATCCTGGGAAACCAAGTGATAAAGGGACAGCGGATCTACCCCTCCAGGCACCTCCGCACAAAAGGCAGAACCCAAAGTGCGGGCACGAGGCAGAAGAGCTTCTCGAGAGCCTTCTGCTCTGGTTGCTTCATCGTGGAGACGTGCCTAAACTAGAGGCCAAAGAAAAAAAAAAAAAATAATAAAAAGAATTTCCTCCCTGGGATGCTCGCAGGGCTCCGGCTGCTCCCAGCGAAGCAAAGGCTGCCGCACTTCTGAGTTTGGCAAGTGGAGAAGTAAAAGACGAAGGATTACCAGTGTCAGAAACAATAATCCTTTCAACTGTGTGCACAATTATAGCTTTACTTCTGCCTGCTGGCCTCTCAACAAAATTGTCCTGCCTTGTTTTTTTTTTTCTTCTCCTTCTTCTTCTTCTTCTCCCCCCTCCTCCCTTCGTGTCTCGGTAACAAGAGCCAAACCTTTTAGCTAATTAGCAAATGCTGAAGCTTCCCTTTAAAATATTCCATCAGCGAATTTAAGCTGCACATCAAACCAGCAGGGAACTCCACCTCAAACAGAGCTCGGCCCTGCTCCCCACAAGGTGGATATTTCCACAGCACAGAGAAAATATTTCAGCTAACGTGTTTGTCCAAATAACCGTATCCAAAAAAGCTGTTTTGCCAAGCGCTTTGGACACTGAGAAGGGAAGGAGAAGAAAATAAAGGCGCCTTCAGATTTGTAAAGGTCACTTTTGCATGCTCGGAGCTTCCAGGAGGTAGCACGGGCAGCAGAAATCACAGTTTGTTGGTTGTTTTGTTGTGTTTTCTTTTCTCCTCCACAGGAGGAGACGCCACACGCCGCGCGTCCCAGCGTGATGGCCCCAGGTAGATCCCAGCCGTCCCGCCAGGATTCCTCGCATAGTCAAAACGAGGGCGGCAGCTCGTTAAGGGCACTCCGCAGGGAGACTTTGCCCGTCGCCGCTGTCTCAGTCCCCGGGGCTCCTTTTAAAATCTGAATATTTCCCTGGGCTGAGCTCAATTTTGCTGCAGCAAGTGAGGGCGCTCAGGATTTTAAGATCCTACTCCAGGCTAAGGCTGTAGTGAGAGGAACCCCGGGGCCAAGCGAGGTGACCGCAAAGCAAATCGCCAAGACACAGGAGGAGGGGTGAGAAGGGAAGGAGAGAAATGGCTCTTGGGCTTCAGAGACAATTTGAGGGAGAAAAGAGCAAATACATCCCCAAGCTGAAGTGCTCTGAGCTCATCGAACCTTGCGAAGTGGGGCAGGGAAGGAAGAGTTGATGATCTTTCTTTGTAAGGGGCAACCTCTCCTTTTTATCAGGGACACGAATTATTCTTATTGAGCAGGAGGAATACAAACCCATGGATTTTTATTTTTTTTTCCCAAAAATAAATGAATCAACGAATCAGGAGATCAGAAGTCCCATTATAATGGGAGAAAAGATGATGTTTTTCTATCACTACCACGCTCAGAGGCCAATATTTTCAAACAGAATAGCCACTTGTTTCCCTCCCAGACTTGCTAAGACACTGCCTTCGTAGGGCCACGCTCCCCAACTAGCCAGGAGGGGTAGAAACAGCCAAGCTCAGACTCTCTTAAGCTCCTGCCCAACCCCAGGAACAAGGAAGGCACATCCCTGGCACGATTCCTTTCTATTCTTTGGCAGAGGCTGCCTTTACCAGCGAGGCAGCACATTTGCTCGCCTCGATCTCGCCCAGGAGCGGCTCCAGCTTCTCGCCGACACGCAATCCCAGGTCTAAAGCCGAGAGGCGAGAGCCAGCCCTTGCGCGAGAGGTGAAACGGCAAAGCAGGGGCCCTGCTCCGAGCAGAAAACCCAACAGGATCGTTACCTCGCCCAGCACCTCCGACACCGCGGCCCTTCTGTTGCTTCTGCTGTTGCATCCCGCCGCGGCCTCTGCCCTTGGACACCACCTCTTCTTTCACCATGTCAATGATTTCGTCGGGGATCCGCAGGTATTTAATCGTGCTGCCCCGAATGTAGCACTCCGGCATCCTCCAGAACTTGTCTCCATCCTATTGGGGAGCAACGCGTTAGGCTACAAAAAAAGAAATCCGGTGCTTTTGTATCACTGTGAGGGGCACTGGAATGTTTCCATCACTTCTGGAGAGCGTGACAGCTCTGCCAACCTTTTCTGGAAGGTTCATCTGTAACCAGCTGCCAAAAAAAAGTGTCTTTTTTTTCTCTAAAACACCTAACCTTAAAACCCGAGGGGGGGCAGGGCACTCAGCCACTGTTTCGATTTGTTCCACAGCTGCTCTAACACAAAAATAAAGGAAGAAGAGGCTGAGGGAACAAGCACCTTCCCTTCTCCTCCAAGAAGGGAATCGAAAGCGGGGCGAGGGCGGCGAGTTACAAACAATGGCTACGAACGACCAGCTCTGGCAAAAAAACCAAAAAACGCAGCTGCGGCACAGACGGAGGAGGCAGGGCCGGGTTTCTCCTCCAGCAGCCTCAGCTGGGAGTCACCTTGCTCCTTCGCTCCTCCGGGGCGTGGAGGGAGCCGGCCCGGCTGCGTGGCGTGCGTCACCCGAGCACGGTAACGGCAGCTGTGGAAAACAAGGAGCTTAGAAATTCTATGTATCTTAAATAAATTAAAAAAAAAAAAATAGTCTCCAGGTGCCCAGTTATGCAGCAGCTGTCTCTGTACGTTGTTTTAATGCAGTTTTGGGGCTTTTCTAGGACGTGACCTACGAGGGTTTCGCATACCGAGGGTGCCTGCGGGAAGAGGAGGAAT